ATTTTGCCCCAGGGTGATGCCTTGAACAATACTATAGGATACTATGTGACGAATTTGACAACAATTGGCCAAGGAGTTCTTGAGATATGGCCCATATTCTTAAAGGTTTATGCACACCGCACAAATGGCCATAACATTAGCCGTTTAAGCCTTTAGCTCAAAAGTGCTAAAAAGGTTTAAAATTGAGTGTGGTGTGTGGACCAGTGTAAAACAAAGGTACTACCACTCCACCAACACCTTATTTAACAAGAGGCCCAGAGGCCACATCGCTCACCGGAGCACTTTGACTAGGAAAAAGCAGAAATCAGTTCAGTATTGAAAAGTTTGAATATGAAAATGAAATATGGTAAGAGAGGTATGATTTGAACGAACTTGAATCTACACTCCCTAAGGATGCTTTTGAATTAATATGACACATAATGGCTTTGCCGTTCTTAAGATGAATTTTTTTACTGATATACCCTTTATATTCCCTTGCAAAACTTTGATCCCGTTATTGCCCCTCCATCTCTCTATTCTCCTGGATGTCATGATTTAACAAATCTAAACCTATATTACCTGAGGATGTTTTTATATTATTATGACCAATCATGGCTTTGTTGTTCTTGTGAAGATTTTAAAGATTTTTCCTATGTAAAAATTTATCGCCCTTGTGGCCCCACCGTATTCCCTGGGGTCATGATTTGAACAAACTTGATTCTACACTACCCGAGGATGCTTCCATATAAATATATGTAATCATGGCTTTGCTGTTCTTGAGAAGAATATTTTTAAAGATTTTTTCCTATGTATTCCTATGTAAAACTTTTATCAACCATAGAGGCCTCACTCTATCCCAGTGGTCATGATTTGAACAAAAGTGAACCTACACTACCCTACCCAAGGATGCTTCCATATAAATATGACCAATCATGGCTTTGTTGTTCTTGGGAAGACTTTTCAAGATTTTTCCTGTGCATTCCTATGTAAAAATATGATAGCCCAATGTGGCCTCACCCTTCCCCCAGTAGTCATTATTTGAACAAACTTGAATCCACACTACCTGAGGATGCTTCCAAATAAATATGACCAATTATGGCTTCGCTGTACTTTTCCTTTTGATCCCCCATTGTGGCCCAACCTACCCACGGGGGTCATCATTTGGACAAATTTGAATCTACACTACCTCACAATGATTCCACATAAGTTTCATACTTTCAAACATAGTGGTTCTTGAGAAAAAGATTTTTGAATGATGCCATTAATTTTTCACAAAATCATAATTATCTCCTCTAGGAAGAAGGCATGGCCCTTCATTTGAACAAACTTGAATCCCCTTTACCCAAGGATACTTTGTGGCGAGATTTGAAATTGGCCCTGTGGTTCGAGAAGACGAAAATGTGAAAAGTTTATGACGACGACGACGACAACAGACAAATTTTGATCAGAAAAGCTCACTTGAACCTTCGGCTCAGGCGATCTAACGACCTCCAAAAACTATTACACAAACTCAGTCTTTCTGGCTCAAATTTATTTTCTATAGTGCATTGGAAGATAACTACTTAGGTACTAATGTTTGTATGCTAAGTCTATATTATGTAAATTATGAAAATGAAACTTTCTATTGATTTATGAAATGATAGTTTGTTTTTAATGAGAAAAAAAAATTTAAAAAGGGTTTAGTTGAGTTCTTGATGTCAAGTATGAACATTGTAAAAAAAAGATATTCCCCAAGAAGCTTGGCTGCTGTGTCCTTTATATTTGAGAGTAAGGTTTTGCTTTAAATACAGTTGAATCTTGTTGACTTGGAGGAGCAGTACTAATGGTAAGTTGTTCAATTTATGCTAAATGGAAAGTAAAGATTCATGATGTAGTGTTTGCTTTATGTGTTGTAGTGTGAGAATAAGTAGGATGTGCTTGTTGGTCAAATAAAAAAAAGGTTGATGCAGTGTCATTTGTATGCAAGGTTTTGGAAAAGCTTATTACGAAAAAAGGTTGAAAATTGGGTATGGTGTGTGGACCAGTGTAAAACAAAGGTACTACCACTCCACCAACACCTTATTCAACAACCTCCAAAAATATTACACAAACTCGAAGTCTTTCTTTTCTATAGTACATTGGATGATTAGTATGAAAGTAGTAAAAGTTTATACAGTGACTGCAATGTTAATGTTATTGTTGACATACCAGTAGTGCAGAATCCTTGTGTAATGTGAGAGACCCTGCATGAATCGGGTTCAATCGTTTGCTGTTTTAATACTGTAGATTACTACATTTTCGTGACACTATATTTTCGCGAGATAATCATTTCGTCTTTTAATTATTAGCTGAAGAAAATTTTCAAGAACTGTGGTTATTGCTCTATTTAATCTATAGGAAAACTAATATACACGAGAATGATATTTTCACGAGCACACTACCTCGCATAATTACGCAAAAACAAAAATTCTTGCGAATGAAAAGTCACTTAAAGTAGTATGGGATCATGCGGTAACAACCATGCAAATTTTGTCAGTTTTTTTCCAGGAATGTAAATTGTAAAATGAATCTTTTGTCTTTTTATAATTATTTTTATACAGAAATGAAAGAAATCCAATTATTTTATAGAATATAGATATTGTTATTTATTTTTTTCTATTATTCATTATGCAAGAGTCTGTCGGACGATCCAAAATTGCCGTTTATTTATTTTTGTTTGATTGTTAAAAGTCCCTGCTTAAACCTAAAAGCTCTATTATAATTGTGGATGACACTAGATACCCCCCTTTTTATTCTCTAAGTCATGAAATTATTAATTTTATTAAAGAGTAATTGAGAATTTAATAGATTTCTTCTGTTTGCTTTAAATTTTGTTTTTACTCCTGAAAGGTATAGCTTTACAAAAACATAGGTAATCAGAGATTACAAAGCTAACCTCAACAAATGTTGTCATCAAGTAAGGCAAAGTCCCACAATAACTTACAATCTATTAGTGCATATCACAACTCATCCAGATAATGATACTTAAATCCAACATCTGAAGCAAGGTTGAGCATGTTTATCCATTGATGCACTACCCTTACAAGTTTGGTTCAGATAAGCATTATAGTTCCTTGGTAACGGTCCTGCACCAAAAACTTTAATCTGGTCACTCATGTAGAAAAAATAGGTCAAATCCAGCATCTGAAGCAAGTCTGGAACTGTGCAGTCTTAGATGAATCATTTATGCAAGTTTGGTCAAGGTACAGCAAATTGTTACAGTAACTTTAGAATGAACCTGCTCCAAAAACTTTAACCAGGTCACTCATCTGCAAAATGTAGATCAGATCCAGCATCCAAAGCAAGTCCAGTAATGTTCATCCTTAAATGTATCATCCATGCAAGTTTGGTCAAAATAAGCCCTACAGTTACTTTAGAATAAATCTGCTCCAAAAACTTTAACTTGGTCACTCATCCGGAAAATGTAGGTCAGGTCCATCCATCCGAAGCAAGCCCAATAGTGTGCATCCTTAGATGTGTCATCTATGCAACTTTTATCAATAGTTACTTCATTGTTATTTGAAATTTTACAATGTATCCCCTTTAAACTCCACATCATAAAATCCAATAAAATCAAAGCTCACAGTCTTTTTTACCATATGATATAATATGTCGAAATATTACACCTGTAATTGATCATAAACTTCATCTTAAAATATTGAACAAATATTATTTTAAAGTTTTCATAAGTTGGATAACTATGGATTACATAAATAAATATTTGCAATCAAAAATAACTATTCCATCTTAATTCGTTTTCAAAATTGACATTCCCAAATATTTTTAGCTAATTTGCATGAAAAATCACGCGCTGGAGTTCATGTAACAGGTAGAATCGTGTGTATCAAGAATCATTCCTGTAACGGGCCTAAACCTGCGTTTGTTGGTCAGAATCGTTTTGTATCATAATCGTTCATGTATGTTGTCAACAATACCGTTGCAGCCACTGTATATGTTTCGTAAATGTGATAATTAAACTGTCTGTTGATTTATATAGTGATGATAAGTTTTCTAATAAGAAAAAAAATGAATTGAAAAAGAATGCAATTGTTTGTTTATGATGTTTTTAGGTTTGAAGATTGTAAAAATGTTCATACATAGTAAGATGCAATATTGTCTACTTGGTACTAAATTATGTGACTAGCATCATGGTACTAGCTGATGTGTCTGTCATTGTGGTACTAGCTGATGTGTCTGTCATCGTGGTACTAGCTGATGTGTCTGTCATCATGGTACTAGCTGATGTGTCTGTCATCGTGGTACTAGCTGATGTGTCTGTCATCGTGGTACTAGCTGATGTGTCTGTCATTGTGGTACGAGCTGATGTGTCTGTCATCGTGGTACTAGCTGATGTGTCTGTCATCATGGTACTAGCTGATGTGCCTGTCATCATGGTATTTGTTGGTTTGTCTGTCATTATGGTACGAGTTGATGCTCTTATCATCATGGCACTAGTTGATTTCCCTGTTATAATGGCATTAGTTTATGCATCTGTCATCATGGTACTATTTGATGTGACTTTCATCATGGTATAAGATCATGTGTAATAGCATTCATGTGTAATAGCATTATTTAAGTTGAAGCCCCTTTCATCATGGTACTAGTTGATGACACTTTCATGAAGGTACTTACTGATGCATCTGTCATCATGCTACTATAATTGGTGTGCCTGTAATCATGGTTCTATTTGATGTGTCTGTTACTTGGTACAATTCAATGTGTCTGTTATCACAATTCAAATTGATGTGTCTGTCATTATGATATTAGCTGATATTCGAGTCATCACTGTACTACTTTATGCCCCTATAATCATGGTACTAGTTGATGCACCTGTCTTCATGGTACTAGTTGATGTGACTGTCATCATGGTAGTAATTAATGTGCCCGTCATCATGGTACTAGTTGATGCCCATTTCATTATGCTACTAGTTAATATGTATGTCATCATGGTACGAGTTGATGTGACTTTCTTCATGGTACTAGATCATGTGTAACTGCATAATTCAAGTTGATGCCCCTGTCATCATGGTACTAGATGATGTCGCTGTCATCATGTTACTAGTGGATGTGACTTTCATCATGGTTGAAATTAATGTGCCTGTCATCATGGTACTAGTTGATGCCCCTGACATCATGCTACTAGTTGATGTGACTTTCATCATGGTACGAGTTGCTGTGACTTTCATCATGCTACTAGTTGATGTGACTTTCATCATGATACTAATTGATGCCCCTGTCACCATGCTACTAGATGATGTGCCTGTAATCATGGTACCAGTAGATGTGTCTGTAATCATGATACACATTGATGTGTCTGTTATTATGTTTTAGATGGTGTTCCATTCATTATGGAATTATTTGATGAACCTGACAACATAGTACTAGATGATGTGTCTGGCATCATGGTACTAGTTAGAATGACTGTCATGGTACTATTTGTCTTCAATGTGCTAGTTGATTTCCCCATTATTATGGTAGGGATTAATGTGACTGTTATCATGGAAGTAGATGGTTTAACTGTCATCATAGTTCTAGTTTTTGCACCTGTCACCATGGCACTAGTTGATATCCCTGGTATCATAATACTAGTTAATGTGTCTATCATCCTGGTACTAGTTGAATGGCCTGTCATCATGGTATTAGTTAAAGTCTCTGTCATCATGGTATTACTTGATGTGTTTGTCACATGGTACTTAGTTAATGTGACTGTCATCATGGTATTAGTTGGTGTGCCTGTCAGCATGGTTCTGGTTGATAATCTGTTATATGGTACAATTCCATGTGTCTGTTATCACAATCAAAATTGATGTGTCATTATGGTTAAAGATTCCAGTCATCACTGTACTACTTAATGCCCCTGTCATCATGTAACTAGTTGATGCACATGTCATCATGGTACTAGTTGATGTGTCTGTCAAGATTTATGTTGATGCCTCTGTCGTCATGTTACTAGTTGATGCCCCTGTCATCATGGTACTAGTTAATGGCACTGACATCTTGGTACTAGTTGAAGCACTTCATCATCGTACTAGTTGATGCCCCTGTCAAATCATGTGTGATGACATGGTTCAAGTAGTTGCATCTTTTATCATGGTACAAGATGATATGTCTCTTATCATGGTACTAGTTAATGCCACTGATATTTTGCTACTAGTTGAAGCAAGTGTCATCATGTTACCCCTGTTAAATCATGTGTAATGCAATGGTTCAAGTAGATGTGTCTGACATCATGGCACCAGTTGATATGACTGTCATCACAGTTGTAGTTAATGTGCCTGTTATGGTAGAAGACGATGATACAAATTGCTATGTCTGTAGTTATGGTATTAGGTGATGTTCCCAGTCACTATTGTAATACTTGATGCATCTGTCATCATGGTACAAGGGAAGAACATGCCATCATGTTATTAGCTGATGTGTCTGTCATCATAGTACTAGTTGATGCCCCTGTCATCTTGGTACTAGATCATTTCTCATGGCATAATTCAAGTTCATGCTCTCATCATCATGGTACTAGTTTATGTGCCTGTAATCATGGTACAAGTCAATGTGTCTGTTATCACAATCCAAATTGATGTGTCTGTTATTATGGTATGAGATGATGTCCCAGTCATTAGCGTACTAGTTGATGGCTTTGTCAAATCATGTGTAATGGCATGGTTCAAGTAGATATGACTGTAATCATGTTATTAGATGATCTGTCTGTACTAGTTGATGTAACTACCATCATAGTTTTAGTTAATGTGCCTCTCATCATGGTACTAATTGATGATACAAATTGCTGTGTCTGTTATTATGGTATTAGTGATGTTTCAGTCATCATGGTACTAGTTGATGCATCTGTCATCATGGTACTAGTTGATGTTCCTGACATCATGTTTGTTAATACTAATTGTGTTTATCCTCATCGTTCTAGCTTATGTGCTTGTCATCATGGTACTATTTTATGCCATCATTTTGCTCAATTAATGCCCATCATTTTTGTAAATGCCATTGTCACAGTATCCTTTTTTTTAATTGTTTGAAAAGTTTGGTGTGCTTCTGCAAATTTAAATGCCAAATCATTCTGAAACTTGGTAAAGACAAGCCTTTTTTAGCTGGATATACTGCAAAAGTTTTTACATGGCTGGATTATGATTGTGTTCATGTTTTTTAAGTCAACAGCCAACAATTTACTTTGAGGAAAATTTTGTTATATATAAATACATGTAGAGTAAGTGAACACCATTTCACTTATGCATCCTATTCCAATGTCCAAAATACATAGTAAAGGCAAAAATATAAGCAAATTGGATACTTTCTGCTGTCTGATTATCGAGTTAGTGTCACCATGTTTGCCTCGTATTTCTTTCTAGTTTGTCGCCTAAGATTAATCACTTTAGTACGAATCTTGTGGACTTTTACTTTATCAGGATATTCCTTTAAAACATCTGGGTTTTTGGATATGAATGTGTGTATCTTCTTTGTCACTGCAAATATGAATTGAATAACAATATTTTACAAACATTTATTACAAGTTCAGCTAAATTTCATATAGGTATCTGACCCATAATAGCCTAAGACTCAATGAAATTGAATGGATAACAGATACATATGGGCTGAATACTTGGTATTTTAACATTTTTTCATATTTTTGTATCAGATGAAAATGTATGTCTTATTTATGATCTTATCCTGTCCTTGAAAAGCTATTTTCCATGAATCAATTCCAAAAAAAATTATGCCTGGTAAAAAAAAAAGTAACATCATTTTTCTATTCCTAACAATCAAATAAGTCCTTCCATCAAGCACTTACTGCTATTCTTGGTATTTAAAAATTTTTCATGTCAATATATTCTTCATTGATTATTTACCGATTAGGTAATTGCATTTCTGAAATTTCTCTTGATAAATCCTTTTCTACTCTAAAGTGCTTCAATTTAATATAAGAGTATTTTATGTATGAAAGATATACAAGGTTAGAATACTTGCTCCAAATAATAATATGGATTTTGATCAAATCCAGTATCCAAAGCAAGTCTGGAAATGGCATCCTTAGATGTTTAATCCATGCAAGTTTGGTCATTGTTTGGGTTTGTAGTTACTTTACAATGAACCTGCTGCAAAAACTTTAACCTGGGTGCTCATCCAGACAATGTAGCTGGTAGGTGTGCATCCTTATTTGTATCACCTCTGTAAGTTTGATCAATATAAGGCTCATAGTAACTTGGAAATGAGACTCCTCCAAAAACTTTAACCTGCTTCAAAAAACATTAACCTGATCATTCTTAGTATGAATATGCAGCATCTGAAACCTGGACTGGTTTAACAAGAAGTATGTGAGAGAATGCTCACTAGTAAAGCCCTGCTCTGATGTGTATATACACTCAGATGTGAATATACACTAGTTCAGCTATGGACAGACACAGGGATGAACATGAAGTTGACATCAGATTCATACAAAAATGATTCCCACAATATTGCATGCCTCAACAAAGAGTGTGCTAAGATTTCAAGCATCTGCAACCAGTAGTTGCTGAGAAAACTGCAACAAAAATCTGTTACATATTGTACAGACAGAGTAGTTGCCGAGAAATATGTGACAAAATTCAGATATACGGATAAACAGGAAGTTGACATCAGATTCAAACAAAAATAAATCCTACTATACGGCCAAAGCAAAGAGTGTGTTAAAATTTCAAGCATCTGTGATGAGTAGTTGTTGAGAAAACTGCGACCAAATTTGTTATATATGGTACGGACAGATGCATGGATAAACAGGAAGTTGACATTGGATTTGTACAAAAATGAATCCGAACATATGGCATGCCTAAACAAAGAGTGTGCTAAAATTTCAAGCATCTGCGATGAGAAGTTGCTGAGAAAACTGCAACCAAAATTTGTTATGTATGGTACGGACAGATGCACGGATAAATAGGAAGTTGACATCGGATCCGTACAAAAAAAAAATTCCCACCATATGGCATGCCTAAACAAAGAGTGTGCTAAAATTTCAAGCATCTGCAATGAGTATTTGCTGAGAAAACTGCGACCAAAATTTGTTATGTATGGTACGGACAGATGCACGGATACAAAAGAAGTTGACATCGGATTGGCACAGAAATGAATCCCAACACATGGCATGCCTAAACAAAGAGTGTGCTAAAATTTCAAGCATCTGCAATGAGTATTTGCTGAGAAAACTGCGACCAAATTTTTTTTTTTCAGATAGACAAACAGACTGACAGACAGACAAGGGTAAAACAGTATACCCCCCTCTCCTTCGGAGCGGGGTATAATTATCACATGATGAAGAGAAAAGAACAAGAGGCCCAGGGGCCACATCGCTCACCTGAGCACTATGGCTAGGAAAAAGCAGAAATCAGTTAAGTCTTGAAAGGTTGAAAAGTTTAAATATAATATAAAAGTGGTTTGGGGAGAGGGGGGGGGGGGGGGGCATGAATTGCACAAATTTGAATCTACATTACCTGAGCTTGCTTCCATTTAAATATGACCAATCATGGCTTTGCTGTTCTTGAGTAGATTTTTCCTATGTATTCCTATGTAAAACTTTGATCACCCATTGTGGCCTCACCCTTACCCCCAGGGGTCATGTTTGAACAAACTTGAATCTACTCTACCTAAGAATGCTTCCATATAAATATGACCAATCATGGCTTTGCTATTCTTAAGAAATAGAGTTTTTTTTTTTTTTTAAGATTTTTATTATGTATTCCAATGTAAAACTTTGATCGCCCATTGTGGCCCCACCCAACCCCCAGGGGTCATGATTTGAACAAACTTGAATCTACACTACCTGAGGATGCTTCCTCATAAGTTTCATATTTTCAAGCACATTGGTTCTTGAGAAGAAGATTTTTTAACGATGCCATTAATTTTTCACGAATTCATAATTATCTCCCCTTGGAAGAAGGCGTGGCCCTCCATTTGAACAAACTTGAATCCCCTTTACCCAAGGATACTTTGTGGCAAGTTTGGTTGAAATTGGCCCAGTGGTTCTGGAGAAGAAGTCGAAAATGTGAAAAGTTTACAGACGGACAGACAGACAGACGGAGAGACGGACCACGGACAAAATGTGATCAGAAAAGCTCACTTGAGCCTTCGGCTCAGGTGAGCTAAAAACAATAAGTTTGTGAGTCAATGCTCACTAGTAATACCCTTACTTGATGTGATTATATGCTTTCATGTGAAACAGACAGATGCAGAGAAAAAGAGGAAGTCAACATTGGATTCTTACAAAAATGAATCCTACTACAATACATGCCGAAACAAAATGTGTGCTAAAATTTCAAGCATCAACCATCTGTGATGAGTAATTGCTGAGAAAACTGCAATGGAACTTTGGTACAGACAAACAGATAAACAAGAAGTTCACATTGGATTTGTACAAAAATAATTCCCATCATATGGCATGCCAAAAACAAGAATGCATCTTTACAGTTTAATAAAATTTTTGAAAAGTTTTAGAAATTTACGAAGTTTTCTTACTGCAAAGTTTCTGGGGACATTTCCAATAGTGTTGTATTTTTACATTTCATACAGTTAAAATTTCCTAGTAACATTCCATTGAAATAAATATTGAAAAAAATATCATTGTAACTCCTCCGCTTGGGAGAGAATAAAATGTGTTTGTGGTACATATCTTTCAATCGAGTTTTTTATAACAATAAACAATAAAGTCAAAGGTCATTGGAAAGTTCAGGTTATTAAAAAAAGACAATAATTGATAAATTTTTATAAAATTATGTATCAGTACATACGCTTACTTAAAAATACTTGAATAGTTTCGTTGATACTGAGCAAAATGCAAATTTAACAAAGATCGCAGGAGAGTTCAAGTTCAAAATTTTTTGATGCAGTTGAATTGCTCTCATCAATATGTCTCAGTATATAAGTTTGATAAAAATAAGAAGGACGGAAGACATACATGACAAATACTATGTGCCCCAGCCATATTTATGGCCGGGCATAAAAAGATTTTGCTAACATTTCAAGCGTCTGCAAAGAGTAGTTGCTGAGAAAACCATGACAAAAAATTTGTCAAAAAAGACAGACACACAGACAGACAGACAGACAGACACACATGAGTAAAACAGTATACCACCCTCTCTTTTGGAAATAAAATAAAATACCTCCATGCAGTGATCCTTGGTTTCCTGACTTGGAAAATTCATTGATGTCCTCTTTGAAAAAATCTTTTATTGCTCTATCCTCTTGTGGAAGCCAGGTATGCTTTCTTCTTGCTTTTGAAACATTTTCTCCTGTAAAAAATAAACTTTTCATGCTAGGTAAAATAAAAATTAAATTATATTTACATAGAAAAGCAGACATACAAATTCACACCAATCTCTGTTATTTAGATTTTTACCCTTCAAAGATTCTATATCTTCAGAATCTTCGCTTTCTATACTGGACTCATCAGAAGATTCATCCTCCATTTGAACAAACTCAGGATCATTTAACTTTTTGGAAATTTTCTCTCTACTAGGTCCTGGAACCTGCACAGGAACAAAAACATGACTATCTTCTTGCTACTAAATACACGCATTAATTTTCAATACATTGTACATAAATATATCTTTATTTTTTGTGGCATATATATATTAATACATGTATAAGATATAGTTATATGCATAAAAAAAATCCAGATTTTTCTTTGTACATTTAAATTTTGTTAACTTACAAAAATTATTAATTTCTAAGTTGTCTAAGTAATTGTGAACAGACTGGACTGATTTAAAGTGATTCCACTTGCTTCTGTTAAATTATGACTCCATCTTTACAATGTCAAGGCTCTGACTATGATATTTTCCTCCATAAAAACCTTTGACAACAACTATCATCTAAAAGATGGGCTAGAAAGCTACTTTTTAATTTCTATCTGATCTTTTATTAAAAATCAATCAGAAAACAGCTTTTAAAGTGAGTAAAGTTTTGTTAAATGACTTCTTCCTGAAATAGAAAGTCTCAATTTCCTGTTTTGTGATTAAATGCCTCTGATAAAATACTAGATTTAATTTTTTTTTAATTTCACAATCATAAAATAATAAAAGGTGCTGAGGAATATGCCACTTGAAAAGGATAGATTGTTGTAGTATGCATACAATTCATTCGTGTTTACTAAACTGAACAAAATGGCAACATCAGATTTTCAACATGAAAATAATGTGAACCAGGCCTATTTTGATCATCATTTGTGGTCCCATTCAACACTCAAGTGTCATGATATAAACAAAATATACACTACAAGAGGATATGCTTCCATATGAATATGACTAATCAGGACTTTGCAGTTCTTGAGAAATATCTTTGTATCCCCCAAACACAAATGAAAAATCATGCTGACTAAAAATGTTTTTCATGGGTTTATTTTTCATTATGCATAAATTTATGAAAATTAAATAATCAAATTATGAAATTATATTTCATTCCAATCTATTTTTATCAACAAGGTAGTTTTTATTCCACTGATTTTCTAAGAATTTTTTTATGGTAAAACAATAGCGTCCATTCCTGTCATTAGCTTATTAGAATAATCTTTTAATAAATACAGTTGGTCAATTAATTAGAAAGTATAAAACATAGGTTAACAGAGATTACAGAGCTCGTCTCAATGAATGTTGTCTTTAAGTAAGGGAAAGTCCCACATTAAACTAATTATCCCAAGATGCAACATTTATGCAATTTTGATCTGATAGGGCTTGAAGTTGCTTGGGGAATGGACTTACCTAAAAAAAAAAATTAAATTAGTCATTCATCCAGATAATATAATTCAAATCCAGTATCTGAAGCAAGTTTGAGAATGTTCATCCCTTGATGCATCATCCATGCAAGTTTGGATCAGATAGGCTTCATAATTTCTTAGTAATGGACCAAAAACTTTAACCTGGTCAATCATCTGGAAAATCATGATTTGAACAAATTACATTCTACATTATTTTAAGAAGCTCTCATAAAAGTTTCATATTCATGCTATTCATACTCATACTGAGTAGGGAAGATTTTTGAATGAACCTACCCCATTTTTACTTCTTTTTTTTTTTAAATTATCTCCCCTCATAAGGTGTGACCAAGACCCCTTATTTTACATGTTTTAACAAATATAATTTTTCTTCACCTTTGTGCCAACTTTGGTTCAAATTGGCCTATCTGTCCTGTAGAAAATGAAATTGTAAAACATTTACAACCACCATGATTACAGATAACGAACTAATTTTGATAAAAAATGTTCATAAGATCCTTGGCTCAGGTGAGCTTAAAAGGAGCTTAAAAGGACTTAAAAACCTTTATAATTATAAATTAACCTTTTCCCTAAAAAAGACATACCTTGTTTAGTAAAGTATGGTCAATAGGTAATTTCCTCTTGGATTCTGTAAACAAAATTACACCATTAAAATGATTGTTGGACAATTAAATAGCAAATTATGTTACAAAATGATCATGGGCCTGAACAATCATTTGAGTAATACTAAGCTCCCTTTTGAATTCCTAAAATTCTCCACAAGAACAAACTAATTGTACATTACAGTACATTTTTGCAATTACTTAAATGCAGAATTTAATGTTTGTTTATTTGATAAATCCCTTCAAAAATTTTCTCTCTCATAGAAAGATGCCACCATTTGCTGGTGGAAAGCTGGAAATTGATTGATTGATTGATTGTTGTTTTACGTCCCATTTGAGAATTTTTCAATCATATAGAGACGTCACCATATACCGGTGAAGGGCTTCAAATTTTGACCTTTACTCGGAAATGAGCAGCGAGGGATCTTTATCATGACAAAGCCTGCCGTAACACAGGGCCTCAGTTTTTAAGGTCTCATCCGAAGGACCCGCAACTTTCACTTCAAAGTGTTGAGTAGACTTAGGTCAGTCGCAGCCGAGATTCAAACTCTCGACCTCCCGAACACAGAGCGAGCGAGACATTTAGAGCTATACTCGGCATTTATGACATCTGAACATGAGAAATCTTTTTTTGTGCCAGAACTAACTGCGACAAGGAACTTCGATTTTTTCGGTCTCATATGAAGGACCAATCTCCCCCTCCACAGTGTGGTTTGGACCCCCCCAAGGTAAGGATCACTTTCTTACTCCATGACTATAGAGCATTGCAAACACTTAACTACTGTGCCATGCGAGTTGTTCAAGACAAGTTGTTCAATGTTCTAAGTAACGATTATGTCACTTTAAGTGTAAAATTCATATTAATGGTGTAATAGGATAATAAAAAAGTGGAAGAATTATATGCCAAAAGCGGAAGGGTAGGGAGTCTGAAATTTGGTTGAAATTGGTTCAGTGGTTCTTGATAAAAAGTCGAAAATATGAAAAGTTTACTGACCACAGCACTAGATGACAGACGGAAACCAGACACTCTTTGATCAGAAAAGTTAACTTAAGTCTCTGATGAGACTGTAGCTCTACTAGTTTGTATTATTAACAAAGGAAGGTAGAAGTATCATTTGCACTTCACACAATTCTCCAGCAATAAATAAAATAATGGTCCTTGGTTTAGTCTCTTTGTGGCAAGATTTACTGCAAACAAATCTAAAATGTTGGAGTAGCCTTTTGAAAGAATTCCAGAAAAAAAATTATTTTTAGTAGCCATGGTAACACCACTCAACAAAATCAAAAACCGATGCACTGAATTATGTATCTTAGTGTAGTCTACTTGTGTGCCAACTGGAATCAGACCAAAATTGTAGGAGGAGTAGCAAGTTAGAAGTATTGCCCAGAAATTTCTATTTTTAGCAAACCATGGCAAAACCATTATTCCAAATTAAAACATAGGTAAGGCAAATCTCCAATCATTTTTTTTTCTAGTTAGTATACATCCAAGTCAATATCCATGCAAGTTTGGTTTTAAGTAGGACTTACAGTAATTTTGAAATAGACCTGCTCAAAAAACTTAACCTGTTTACTAATCAAGAAAATGTTGGACAGTTCCAACATCCAAAGCAAGTCTGAACGTTTTCATCCTTAGATGCACCATCTATGCTAGTTTATTCATAAAAGGCCATAATATTATATAGCTACTCCTAGTGATTCAGCGATAGTCGCCGATGATCGAAAAATCGTCAAGGTTGGCGATGCCGACAATCGATAGTCGCTATATATATAGCTACTTTAAACATAATGCTAAAATCTTAATATATATTATCTTTTTTTCATGTAGTGTTCCCTTTTTTCTTTTGTACAAAGATGATACACTTATTATTTTTATGCATTTTCCATGTGCACACATATTTACAATGAGTTTCTGTTCAACGCCTGACTAAAAACTGAGTCAGTGAATGATTCGTAAAAATGCTTTGAAAATTATAATCATGACAAAATCTAAATAAAATTCCCTTCCATTAATGCAATCATTTAGGCAACAAAAGAATTGACGACTAAATATAGATATTAAGAGTACCACTTAAAAAAATTGTCTTTTAACTTGAATTTTCTCTGCTCTCACACTTGAAATGATATTTTCAACTTTCCACTCACATTTTGTGTATTATTTTTCACAGTTTAAACAGTCAGAAGTCAAACACAAAGCTACTGCTTTTTTTTTTATTATATATAACGAGTTCATTAGAAGTAGTGGTAGTTTTTATTGTACATACCCATATGCTGTGTATAAAATATATTAAATTATTTCTCTGAATAAATTTAAATATGAATGTTTATGAAAGTGGACAACTTGTTGAACGTTTACTCTTTTCTTTTTATATAAATAGGAATATTTTTTTTTAAAAAAGAAAAGAATTTATCATCTTTTAAAAATCAAAAATTTTAAACAAATTTATCAATTGATCAAATGTTTAACATAAACATGATAGATAAATGTCATAAAAAATGAAACACATTGTTTATTAACTTATCAGTTTAATAGTTATATACTAAAAAAAATCATTTTATTTGAACTGCAAAATTTAGCAAGTGTAATTCTTTCCTTTGATAATTATAGAATTTCAGCAGATTTATTAAAACTGAAATATTGGCCTACATGTGTATACTTATCCATAAATATAAACACAATACCGAGCCTTTAATAATGTAAATAAAAAGAAACATAAGAAATGTCCGATTATTTTCGATTATGATTGATTGATTGTATATTGTTTTACGTCCCATTCGAGAATTTTTCACTCATATAGAGACGTCCCCATATACCGGTGAAGGGCTTCAAATTTTGACCTTTACTCGGCACTCAGGGCCATTGAGCAGTGAGGGATCTTTATCGTGCCAACGCCTGCCGTGACACGGGGCCTCGGTTTTTAAGGTCTCATCCGAAAGACCCGCAACTTTCACTCCAAAGTGCCGAGCGCATGGCGAAGGAACAGTTGCTACCTATTTTTTATCGACTTAGGTCTGTCGCGGCCAAGATTCGAACTCACGACCTTCCTTTCACGGAGCGAGCACTCTACCGACTGAGCTTCCGTGAACGGTTTTTCGATTATGAATCGAAATGGTGTTTCCGATTCCATTTGATAATTGATAGTATTTTTTGTCCGATTCTGAAACACTAGCTACACCAAAAACATTACCCTTGTCGCTCATCTGGAAAATGTAGGTCAGATTCAGAATCCAAAGCAATTCTTGAAGTGTCCATCCCTAGATACATCATCCATTCTTATTTGGTTAAAATATGGCTAAAATTCACTCATGTGGAAAATCTAGGTCAGTTTCAGCATCCGAACCAAGTGTGGTAGTGTCCATTCCTAGATGATCATCCATGCAAGTTTGGTCAAGGTAGGGCTTATACATGAAGTTACTTGGGAATGGACCTGCTCCAAAAATTCATCTGGAAAATATAGGTCAGATCCAGCATCTGAAGCAAGTATGGTAGTGTCCATCCCTAGATGCATCATCCATGCAAGTTTGGTTTAGGTAAGGCTTATAGTTACTTGGGAATGCACTTGCTCCTTAAACATTAACCAGGACACCGCAGAACTGTAGCTCTCTGCTTGAGAAAATTTGGACAGATAAAGCAGACAGCTACAGATCCAAGCGTTGTAAAAACCTTTGATTTACGCTGCCACTTTTGTGTCGCCCTCTTCGGGTATTATTTCTTGTATTTAATGCTTTCCTTAACTTTAAAAATAATATTCGATAATTAACCATATATTTTAGTTACCTTTCAACCATTCCAGATGTTTGAAATATCAGTTTTAAAAAATGCATTCCGACATTGTTGTTGGTGTCATCCTGAAATAACATGTCCGGGTTTTATTTATCTCATTTCTTTTTTTACATATATATTGTATTCTCTGTGGACATGATATTTGATTGATTGATTGTTTAATGCTGAGTCGGCAATATTTCAGCCATATTTCTGTGGAAAATTAAGGTTATTTGACCGGTATTTGAAAGGTTTTTGGTTTCTCTGGTGGCCCCTAGTGAGCCTACTCTTTTTCGAAATCCAGAGAAACAATCTTTTTGCGTGCCAAGGGTGTTGTTATCCTAGACACGGGGCACCATTTAACGTCCCATCCGAATATTTAAACCTCCTATTTTTTTTATTTACATTTTCTCAGAAAGTATATATATTTTGAAAGACATATTTTCTCACGACCCCCAGCATGGACTGGTTCTGGAGAAGAAAGTCAAAATGTGAAAAGTGTAAGAGGGACAGACAGACAAAATGTGATCAGAAAAGCTTACAAGCTTTCAGTTCAGGTGAGCTACAACACTATTGTTAATATACGATGGGCAACCTTTGTATATCTCAATTAAAATTTAATAAATAAGGAATTTAACATTAACAGGATATAAATGTATGTGTGTTACCTTTTGTCTGTCCTGTGGAAGTTCCTTCATTTGACTGCCTTGGCATCTCAGTTTCTGTCAATGAATAATTAATCAATTTGAAAGTATTCATGTACGTGTATTAAGAAAAGATTGATTAGCCAAAAGTTTAATTACAATTACATTGTTTTGTAATTGATGTTCTTGCAGATTATTGAAAATCATTTACTCTCCTCCATGGCACCTGATCCCAACTCTGATGTTTAAGAGGTCCATGTTTGCTCTGCATCCAATTTGTATTGTTTAAATGGACTTGTTCGTTATCTCCAATATTTCTGTTATAAAGCTTTGAACTTGTGATTTTCATAAACATTGTCTAAGTGATGTTGTATGCTGAGTTAGACAACTGTGCAGAACACCTGGGGCCCGTTTCTCAAAAGGGCCTACGATCAGGTGTAAACTTAGTCCAGACTAAATCAGTGACTAAACCTGAAAATGGTACTAAGTTGCATTTCATAAAAAGGTGGAGACTAAGTCGAGACTAAACTTTGGCTTAAATCTATGCCTGCTTATGGGAAGGCGCAAATTTTAGTATGTTTACAACTTGAAAAACTGGCAAGTGTTTTGATCATAAAATAATCAATAGAGCGTCGCCCTAACACCAGAACCCCCGACTCAGGGCCACGAAATTCACCATTTTGTAAAAAGCATCCTTGTGCATCATGACCATGCACTTAGTTTGTCAAAATAATACCCAGTAGCAGAAAAAAAGATTTTCAAAGAATTAATGGATTTTCACTATATAATCAATAGAGACCCTCCAAACACAAGAGCCCCTGACCCAGGGGCAAGGAATTTCATTATTTTGTAAAAGGCATTCTTGTGCATCATAACCATGCACTTAGTTTGTTTAAATAATACCCAGGAGCAGAGAAGAAGATTTTCAAAGAATTAATGCATTTTCACTATATAATCAATAGAGCCCAGCCCTATTTCCAGAACCCCTGACCCAGGGGGCAGGAAATTTCCTATTTTGGAAAAGGCATCTTTGTGCATCATGACCATGCACTTAGTCTGTTTAAATAATACCCAGGAGCTGAGAAGAAGATTTTCAAAGAATTTATGCATTTTCACTATATTATCAATAGAGACCCTCCAAACACAAGAGCCCCTGTCCCAGGGGCAAGGAATTTCATTATTTTGTAAAAAGCATCCTTGTGTATCATAACCATGCACTTAGTTTGTTTAAATAACACCCAAGAGCAGAAAAGAAGATTTTCAAATAATTAATGCATTTTTACTAAATAATCAACTAATCCCCGCTCTTACACCAGAACCCCTGAATCAGGGGCCATGAAATTCCCAATTTTAGAAAAAGCATCATTGCTTTTCATAACCATGCACTTGTTTTGTTTAAATAATACCCTGGAGAAGAGAAAAAGATTTTCAAAGAAATAATGTATTCTCACTATATGATCTAAAAAGCCCCACCCTAGCACCAGAACCCCACACCCTGAAGCCATGAATTTCACAATTTTGGTAGAGGGCCCAATGCTTATTACAATCATGCCAACAGTTTGACTGCTTGGTGTCCAGGAGTAAAGGAGAAGATTTTTAAAGATTGCATCAATTTTTGTGGTTTTATCCCCACCCCTCGGGCACCTGGGGGGCAGGGACCATGAAATTCATAATTTTTGTTCCCCTTCTCCCACAGATGCTATATGCCAAAATTGGTTGAAATTGTTTTAGCGGTTTTGGAGAAGAAGTTGAAAATGTTCAAAAGTTAACGCACGACGATGAAAACGGATAGCAATAGGTCACCTGAGTGACTCAGGTGATCTAAAAAACTGTGACAATAAAAAAAATTTAATTTGTCTGTTGGTTCATGAGCTCTATAATAATCGCATAAAATACCTTTAAGCATCTTTATGGTACACTCTGCTACAAGCCATGCATCTTCAGTAAAGTACTGCTGTGCACATTCTTGAACATCTTTACTCAAAATCAAGGCTTTACTCTCTTTCAACATTTCTGGATCAACAGTTACTTCTTCCTCCTGAATTTGTCTCGATAAATCAAAGAGTTCTGCAATTGGGACATCTTGGGCCATTTCACATAGGAAGACTGTAAATTTAAAGAAAGTGACAATATCAATGGGTTGAATTAGCACAAAATTAAATAACATACTGCTGTTTTTGTTTTCTGGAAAAAGTTATCTATACCTGTATACCACAACATTTTTAAGCTGCATGAAATGTTGGACTCTTACAAACAAAGCAATAAAAACAAGGAAAGCTATCAAAATTAAAGCAAACCTGATTTTCTTTAATGTGAAAAATACTGGGATTTGTATATGAATTTTTAAAACTTTCTAATCTGAAAACAGTAGGAGGTGACATCCCAACAAAATCAATGTACCTTATAAGTATACTTTGCATAAATTGTTTAGATTTATTTCATGGGTTGTATCATTTTCTTCTAAAATTATCACTTATAACTACATGTATTCTGAGAGTATTGCATAAGCAATACTAGTCTCCTACTAGCTAGTCTAATCTGGTTTCCTTCAAAATCTTAAAAGGCAATGATTTCATCATAAATAATCAAAGCAGATGAAAATGCAAACCTGATCTGTATTTCATCAAGGTACACTTACAAACCAAAAATCAGCTCAATATATGTATGCAGTAAGAAAAAAATGTACAGAAAACTAAGTGAGACAGATTGTCAGACAGAGGGAAAGACAGGAAGATGAACAGATGCAGAGGAACCTATAGTCCCCTAAGTTTTGCAGGTAGGGGACTAATAAGACCAAATTTAAGACAAATAGTAATTAACTTATCAATGAATAGTAATTCTGATTCATATAACAATACATACCTTCAACTGCTTCAGACTGAGTAAGACCATTAGCTCCCTCTGACTCCTTCAAATTTAAGGAACCTAATGGATATAAAGAGTTTGCTCCAGTTATCTGGATGAAATGTCCCAAATCCTAGCAACAACACTATTCAAGAACAATTAAAGCAGAAATATATATATTTATATACATATATATATATATATTAATTCTTCATTATTTTTGCTATTTTCTGTGTGAAACCTTTATACCTATAATCCTTTTAAGTACTTTATGTTTTGAACAAAACTGAATCTAAACTATCTGAGGATGGTTCCTTATCATATATGCCTTGCCGTTCTTGAGAACATAATTTTAAAGATGTGTGCCACCCTTTCCCTTAGAGGTGTAACAATACAGCAATACATCAATCGCATTAATTGCAAGGGCTCACGATACACGTATCGTATCGCAATGTATGTATCGTGATACAGTACAAGGTAATTTTCCTTGTTTTGATTGAAACTTCTACATACAACTTAACAAATTTTAATGTTTTAGAATGACTGAAAGAAAAATTACAATGTCAAGACTCTAAATCCACCTTTAGTAGTTTTATTAACTTTGGTTAAGGGTATCAAGATATTCTTTTTATGTTTTCTAAAACTGTGGAGACGAGGAAAGAATAATATGTAAAGATAACAATTAATTCAATTGTTGACAGCTGTATCATGATACATGTTGTATCGCATGACTGTATAATGATATGTATCATATTGTTAGGTAGCCTGCAATAGTCAGGCCTACTTTCCTTGGAGGTCATATTTCAATAAAATTGAATATGACACTAGTACCTGAGAGTGCTTCCATATCAATATGACTTGTCATAACATTGCTATTCTTGAGAATAAGATTTTTAAAGACTGATTTGAATTCCCTTAATCCTATGTAAAACTTTGATCTAGCTCTTAGGCCAGGGTGTCAGAATTTGAACAAATATAAAATTACATTACCATATATCATTATGACTAACCATGGCTTTGTTGTTCTTGAGAAGAAGATTTTTAAAGAATTTTCTTAATATATTTGTTCATACGTAAAATTCAAACAAGAAGTCTGTGAGCCAATGCTCACTAGTAATACTCCTGCTCTGACGTGAATATATGCTCTTATTAATCCCACCATATGGCATGTCTAAACAAAGAGTGTGCTAAAATTTCAAGCACCTTCAATGAGTAGTTACTGAGAAATGTGTGATGAAAAATTGGTAAAATCGGTCCGAAAAATCGGACAGACACACGGCAAAAGAGGAAGTTGACGTCAGATTTGTACAAAAATGAATCCCACCTCATGGCATGCCTAGACAAAGAATTTGCTAAAAATTCTAGCATCAGCAATGAGTAGTTGCTGAGAAAACTGCGACGAAAAATTTGTACGGACAGACGCATGGAAAAACAGGAAGTTGAAACAGATCTGTACAAAAATGAATCCCACCATATGGCATGCCTACACAAAGAGTGTGTTAAAATTTCAAGCAACTGCAATGAGTAGTAGCTGAGAGAACAGTGACAAAAATTTGTTACGGACAGACACACGGACACACAGACACACAAGGGTAAAGCAGTATACCCCCTCTCCTTTGGAGCGGGGTATAATTAAAGTTCAAGCTACATGTAGCCAGCTAAATTTTGTACAAGCTGACTTACATCAGAATTTCTTAACAAAAAAAAGTCAATAGAAGAAACAATATAAAAAGGCCCTATCTGTGTGACCTTTTTTCTACACTACTGGATCAGTCCAGTTGTTTTCAAGGAAAGGGGTGACACAATCAGTTTACATCAATCTTGGGACGTTCTATTCAATGACTGTGATAACTTCCAATACATGTATGCAGCCCCCCCCCCCCCCCCACTTTTCTCGAGAAAAAAAATATTTGATATAGTTGGTTTTTCCATATGTAAATTTTCAGTTTGAAGTTGCTTGCCCCCCCCCCCCCCCCCACACACACACACTTTAAGTTGCTGTAAGGTTGACACAGACAAATTTCAGCAATTAAAAACAAGAGGCCATTGGGCCACAACGCTCACCTGAGTAACTTTTGTCCTGCTGTTCTTTGCCTGATCCCCCCCCCCCTTTGTAATATCTATTGTAACCCCGCCCTACCCCAGGGGTCATGGTTTGAATAATTTAGAATCTACACTACCCCAGGATGTTTCTACTTAAGTTTCAGCTTTTCTGGGCCAGTGGTTCTTGAAAAGAAGATTTTAAAAGATTTTTCCTGTATACTTTAATGTAAAACTTACCGTAGATTCCATAATCCCCTACATGAATTGTACAATTTAGAATCCATTCTACCCATGATGCTTCTAAAAAAAAATTCAGCTTTGCTGGCCCAGTGGTTCCTGAGAATATGATTTTTAATGATTTTTCCTATATATTTCAAAGTAAAACTTGGATTTCCTATTGTGGCCCAGCCCTACCCCAAGGGGTAATGATTTGAACTATTTAGAATTTACACCACCCCAGGATGCTTCCTCATAAGTTTCAGCTTTTCTGGTCCAGTGGTTCTAGAGAAGATTTTTCCAATAAATTTCAATGTAAAACTTGGATTTCCTATTGTGGCCCCTCCCTATCCCAGGGGTCATGATTTCAACAATTTAGAATCTACCCTTCTTCAGGATGCTTCCACATAAGTATCAGCTTTGCTGGCCCAGTGGTTCTTGAGAAGAAGATTTTTTAAAGATTTTTCCTATGTATCCTATATATTTCAATGTAGAACTTGGATTCCCTATTGTGGCCTCGCCCTACCCCAGGGGGTCATGATTTGAACAATTTAGAATCTACACTACCCCTTGATGCTAATGCTTCCACATAAGTTTCAGCTTTTCTGGCCCAGTGATTCTTGAGATTTTTTAAATACCCCACCCTATTTTTGTCTTTTCTTGATTATCTCCCCTTGAAAGGGGGATTCACCCAGAGATGCTTTGTACCAATTTTGGTTAAAATTGGCCCAGTAGTTCTCGGGAAGTAGTTGAAAATGTGAAGTTTACTTTACAGACGAATGGACGGGCGACGGACAACAGGTGATCAGAAAAGCTCACTTGAACTTTCAGCTCAGGTGAGCTAAAAATGGTGCCGAGAAGTTAGAGTAAGGCACCCTACCCCCACCCTCTGAAACATGATTTTCGAGTTTGGACAGTTTATTGTTTGGGTGGGTTTACCCTCTCCCCCTATGAACCTCCCCCCCCCCCCTTTGAAAAACGTTATGGGCCTGTTATATATTGTCATTTGTCTTCAAAATTATTATATTAATATCATCCATAAAATAGTAATGTATAAAAGTACATGCTACAATTCAGTCCATACAGATATTCATTTTAAATTATTTTGATTGGTACTATGAGTTGCTATTATATTTTCAGCTGTTGTTTAGCGCTTTTGATCTCCAAGGCAATTGAATTTAATTCATATACCTGTGCACAGCCACAACTTTCTAGCTTCAATCAATCACATTAATTTGTTTTCCTTTCTTACTTCATTTTAATTAAATACTATTTAAAGAATCTTCATTATCATGTCAATATGAACTTCTTTCAAATTTTACCCATATGTAGGTACATTCCACATGCATTACTATTGTTTGAGATACAATAAATATCTTTACCTAAATGTTCACTAATGAATTTCCATTCTTCTGATGAGTAGCAAAGTAAATAAGATAAAAAAAAATATCAGGATGTTTTGTATAAATCTTCAATATGTAAGGTTATGAAAAATTACACCTTCCTCCAACAAAAATGGACAGATCATACTATGATCATACTTACATGTTCTTTAAATATTAATTGCTTAGTCAGGTAAGCTCTTTGAAAAGCTATTTACTTGTAAAGAATTTAAGGGCTGCTGGACAGCCTATAAAAATTAAAGTCATGCGGCCCATCATTGAACGATAAAAATGAAACAGTAGGTAAACCTTTGTCTTTCAAACACTTCTATTTTTATCTGCAGTCTCATTTGCTAAATGGTGCAGTAGAGGTTGGTAACACTTCATTATACTCATATTTTTCATAAATCTTTCGTCTTAAGATACATGTATTAAAAGAAACACATGAATCAGAATCATTATGTGTCTTTAAATGACTACTATACATACCTGATTCTGAAGCAGGACCAGGTTGATTTTCATCATCTGCTGATAATTGTTCTCCTATGGATTAAAAACATTTCATCATGAGCAATGGTTTGATAATTTTGGTATAGTGTTCTACGTACATTATTAAAATTATTATGTGTATCCATATAAACTTAAAACTGTTTGAATCCTCCCTCCAGGCCTATTATGCCAAATTCCAGACATTGGTAATATATTAATTTAAACAAACGTATTCATACTCTACACAGAAATGTTTGACCATGAATTTATTAAATTTTTCTTGATTTATTTATTACTTGTATACATTATCAATTATGTTAATTGCTGAATTCTATACATTAGTGTGTAAAAAATTAACACAAACTGCATGAAGTATATCTGATATATTGAGAGTTCTGTATCTGTTCTATCATAAAAGTCTCATGAATCAGTTTACTCAAATTCCATATTCAAATGAGGACTCAATTAATGTTTTAATTTCTATCTTGTATTTTTTTTAATAACTCTCATTACAAAAATTAAGTACAATTTGATCAAGATTTAAACAATATACATAAAAGTATGCTGGTGATGTTTAATATTGTTAAACAATGTACATATTATAGACTGTCCTATGATCTAGCTATGCTTGAGATTTCAAAATCTTCTCTCTTCTTAAAACTTTTTGACTTCCTTTCATGGACCTATCCTACCCAATTTATACTACATAATTTTTTTTTCATACAAATCTTAGCCTGTGATTCCTTCTTTGTAGAGAGGAGAAATCCCTAAGTTGAACATTCAAATTTCATTAATTTTTAAATAATAATTTTGAAAAATGAAAGAAACAGGACATTGAAGTAGAATACCAAGAAAATTTTATCAAGTCACTTGAATGAGCCTTGTTTTCTTACCTATGCTGCTTTCCAAAGAACTGAGAAATTTTCCAACAGTAGTTATAGTTTTCACTGCAGGTGGACATTGATACACATTTTCATTTATGTTTCTTGAATGTCCCAGATGTTTGTAGAACATATCTCTGTCTGCTGAGGATACATCCAACAGCGAGTACACTGTGGCTATATAATGTCGCATATCTGTTGCAGTAATAAATCGTTTCAATCCTGCTTTTTTACACACATTAGTGACACAGATCCATCCAGTACAATGATTTAAAGAGTGATTTATACTGGGAAAAATGAATTCATTTTTTTCATTTATATTTGCCTGCCTTCTAACCTCAATGTCAGTAAGAATTTTTATGGCCTCCCAACAGTCTTTTGGTATCAGAAGAGGCACAAGTTTTGCCACTTTAGATGCATGTATATACACAATTTTAGTTTCACACAGCAATTTTTTTTCAATTTCATCTTTAACCTTCTCTACTTTGGATGGATCTACCCATACCCCATTCAGGGCATCATCCCAGTCTTTCAGAGTCATGCGACTTGGCTCACCTCCCCTTCTTGCATTAAACAATGTTAATCTACAAACCACAGCATCTCTTAACTGGGTAAATTTATTATATTCCATATACTTGAAAACGTCTGATGATAACTTTTCAATTGCTTCTTTGGTAAAGTTCCTGAGCACTTTTACTTCTTCTTCACTTGGCAACCTTACTGGCCTCCTTGAGACAGTATGTCTCTTTTTTATAACGGATTCCTCTGCACTAGCAAAAAAGGATGGCCAGACAACTTGTAACACTTCAATAAATATGTTCATTTCTTCAGCTTCCTGGTCTTCTCTTGCTAAGTAGTAATTTGCTTTCATAACTTTGCATATGTCTGTAATGAGGTAACGAAGAGAAACCTTCAAACCAACCTTTACTGTATTATCTACATGTGTAGTCATATTTATAATAGCGGTTTGAATTTGAAGCATATAATCTCGATTAAACATTTCATGACAAGAGTTCAAACTGATTGATGGATTTTCTTTAGTCATAATTTTCTTAAATTCCAAGTAAAGATGGGCAAGTCGTCTAAGATTAGACATAAGTGATCTTCGTTTTTCTTCCCTCTTCTCTGTACCCATGAAATTTTGAAATTTAAGAAATCCATATCTTTTTATCCAGGCATCCTCTCTGATAAGTTTCCCAACTTCAGTGTCGTGAAAACATTCCAATATCTCCTGTCTATAATTGTCAGAATAACCTGAATCAGGCTTCAGAAGTCTGACACTGCATGAAGATGGGTATTCAGTTGTTCCTTCTGCTGCAAGACATCTTTTCTTGTGTCTAGAGATTCTTCTCTTGCTATAAAAGCCTTTGCAAAGGGAACACATTACAGATACCTCGCTTTTAATAGCCTTTCTTTCATGTAAAAGCTGAGCGAAATCTGGGTTTTTCTGTGAAAGGACAGCAGCATTTGCCTTTAGAATTCCTTCCTTCTTAAATTTCTCGAACTCTCGATCTCTTAGTACCTTCGGAAGAGATAACGCATTTTTGACACATTCCTCAGTTTTATGACGTCTCGCAATGTGATCACTCAGCCTTGAAGCGAAGGTCTCACAAAAAGGGCATGGTCTCTTAGGTCTACTTTTCTTCAAGGATTTCTTTGTTTCACCTTTTAAAAAGATGATTAATCAACATATCAGCTATAATACATGTAGTTTTAATTGAACAGAATACCAATGCATTTTAATGAATTAATTGTTAAATTATTTGCTATAGCCTATGCTATTTAAAATATTTTTCTTAATTAATCAATGTAAGAATGAAAATGTTATTTCCTATTAAAAAGATTGTCAGCAGATATGAGATAATAAAATAGTAATTAAATCATAGAATGGTTAGCATTAAGCTATTTTATAAAAAATATTATAGACACAAAGTTCTTACAAGGTTTTGACAATATCTAATGTTTAAATTGAATGTTACATGTATAAGGACAGTAGAAACAAAAGACTAAAGAGGTTTTTGAGAAAGGCCAATGAGAAGTGGTGACTACCATAAACAAACAAAAGCATGAGCAATTATCATTGCTGCAGCAGATGCATGTGCCATGTGCTGTACTTTTGTACTTGGTAAAATCATTAAAATTCTGTATATTCAAAATCATAAACTTTAAAATCTCTCCATTTACATTAACAATGTGAAATTTGGTAAAAGAAGAATGTTATGAACTCAAGATGAGTTCAATCGATAAAAAATAAAGTCTGTCTCCCACCCAATTTTTTGAGCATATTAGGATAAAAATCTAAAATTTATATAAATTTATGTGGCCTTACCTAGATTTGTCTTGCTCTGTTCTAGTTCTTCAAGACTTTCAGGTGCTTCATCATTTTCACTGCTCTGGACTATTTCTTCATTTACATCAGATCTTAGCAATTTTACAGATATAGGGTAAAGATCAATTTGACCACTTTCCCCTTTTGTTACAAGTTTAAGGTATTTCACAATTTCTGCAAGACTTTTGAAATGAAACAGCCCTGCAGATCCACTGGCATCAACAAAACCATCAGTATTCCTTGAATGTGGATCAAATATAGAATACTGACGATGATTCCTGGGAAGTATTGCAATACAAACATCAAACATCCGTAAAATAAAGCTTTGATTGGGCTTGTCAATGATTGCAGATGAAACTAAAGTATCAATGTATGAAGACATTCCAAACAAAGGCTCATGGACTCCTACACTTGCAACTACTTCATGGCTGCCAATCTGACATTCAATTTTTTCAGGAAACTCATCAATGTCTAGTCTAGACTCTTGTCTTTGGAATGGCCAATGCTTCTTTTGGAGAACACTGAGGTGAACTCTATCACCTCCTTCTAAAATATTGTCTATAAATTCCGAATCCCAGCAATCAACATTTTTAAGGAAACCAGCTATAATAGCTGTGAGGCAATTGCTTGTACATTGACTACCAGCAGCTTCATGTGTAAATTTTTCTGGGGATGACTGATGGAAGTTTCCCATGACAGCAACCAAATCCGCCTTCTCCTCCGTCTGAAAAAATTATACAATTAATGAATAAAAAAATCCCATCAGCATAAATCATTATACAGCACGATGAATTTTGTTAAGAAATTTCATTCTTCATGACTTAATCTGTATCTAATTGAAATGGGTTTTTTGATGGTTCATGAAAGAAATGTATATGTCATGATCAGCAATGTGAGCATGCAAACAAGATAACTATTAGTGGCAATGCTAACCTTAGTCACATTGGCACTTAGCTGATCTTCACCAAAAATATTTTAATAGCCCCACTCCTTTTTTCTAATTAAAACAACTGACAGACCTCATATTGACGCCCCAATGTTTATAATTCAACCAAACTCAAAATCTCAAAATGGTTCTTGAGAAGAAGTCAAAAATGTAAAAAGTTTTTAATGGACAGTTAGACAGGCACCAGACAGACATAGGGACAGAAACTGCACAATGGGTGATCTGAAAATCTGAAAAGCTTACCTGAGCTCTCAGCTCTGATGAGCTGAGAAAAATAAAGATTATATACAAATACTGTTAATGTGTTTAATAAATGATAACTTGACAAGAACAATTTAGTCTGAAGTCAGTTTTTTTTTTTCAAACTTGCAGGCAATTTTGAAGTGACATTTTTGTTGATTATGTCTTACATAGGCAAAGAGTGGTTCTCATGATTTCATATTTTCAACCGTTCATGGTAGCTCAGTTGGTAGAGCGCTCGCTTCGTGATCGGGAGGCCGTGAGCTCGAATCTCAGCAGTGACTGACCTAAGTCGATAAAAAATGGGTAGCAACTGTTCCTTCGCCATGAGCAAAGTGAAAGTTGCGGGTCCTTTGGAGGAGACCTCAAAAACCGAGGCCCCATGTCACGACAGGCGTTGGCACGATAAAGATCCCTCACTGCTCAATGGCCCTGAGTGCCGAGTAAAGGTCAAAATTTGAAGCCCTTCACTGGTATATGGTGACGTCTTTATATGCCATTGAGTGAAAAATTCTCGAATAAAATAACATACAATCAATCAATCAATCATATTTTCATTTATTTAAGTTAATCAGAGATTTTGCCACATACAGTACTAACAAAATATAAAAAAAACCAACTGTATGTTCATACTCACCAAGCATTGTTTTCCATTTACACCACAAAAATTCTTTTTGTGTTCCAAAAAAAAATTGATGTTGCTAAAAATTCCTTTGCAGCTACCACATTTGATAAAATCAATGCTGTTTCCATCTAAAAATGATCATAAAATAAAATTTCTTTTAATATTCCAATCAATTCTAAATAATATGATAAACTAATAAGGTCATTGAGTGATCTTCAGAACTTTTATATAAATTGAGCAAATAAAAACATTCTAAACGGCAATATTACAGACCAGTAGATTCACAATAATAACTAATAACTAATAAGTTAGATCTCTTTGCTGTACAAAAAAATGAATAGCAGTAAAACTAGTCTTGTGAAATATGCACACAGACCAATGTTTTTTTTATTTTCTGTTCAAGAGCTTTGTTCCCAAATTTGAATCTGAGTTGGGGGAGGAGAGGGGAAGGGGGTAGAAGCGAAATTTTTTTTAAAAAGTTTGAAATTAAAGCAGTTGCTCAGAAGAATAACAAAAGGTTCAGGGGCCATATTGCTCACTTGAGCACTTTGGCTAGGAAAAAGCAGAAAATTAATCAGTTCAGTATTGAAAAGTATAAATTTGACCAATCACAGCTTTGCTGTTCTCAAGAAGAAGATTTTTAAAGATTTTTTCCTATGTATTCCTACGTTCTTGATTTAAAGATTTTCACTATGAATTCCTATGTAAAACTTTCAATCTACACTACTGAGGATGCTTCCATATAAATATGACCAATCATGGCTTTGCTGTTCTTGAGAAGAAGATTTTAAAGATTTTTTCCTATGTATTCCTATGTAAGACTTTGATCACCATTGTAGCCCCACCCTACCCCTGGGGGTCATGATTTGAACAAACCTGAATTTACACTACCTGAAGATACATCCACAGAAATATGACCAATCACAGCTTTGTTGTTCTTGAGAAGAAGATTTTTAACAATTTTTCCTTGTAATGTATTCCTATGTAAAACTTTGATCCCCCATTGTGGCCCCTGCCTTCCCCGGGGGTCATGATTTGAACACACTTGAATTTACACTACCTGAGGATGCCTCCACATAAATATGTCTAATCACAGTTTGCTGTTCATGAGCAGCAGATTTTTGAAGAT